CTAAATCATCCACTTATTTTTTGTCTAATGCAAAATGGGAAAAATAGTAAACAGGGTACATAGAACCTTAACCTGAAAACAGTGAATTACCAAACCCAGATTCATATCATTTATCTACTTTCCATTTTCTATCCATTTAAAAAAGAGATAAACATAACTAACAGATTAATATGACTCACTTTAATAATTGAATCTCAATTATGAGTCTCACTAATCTATCAATTAAGTTTATCTGTCTTATAGGTGGATAATAAATGATATGAAGAAAATGGGGCAAATCCTGACTCCAAATTATCACTGAGTTATTGAAGAAGCAACAGTCTAGAAATCAGACAGTTCAAACTAAAAAAAAAACAATAGAAATATATCAGAAATATCATCTGAAAGTTGCCCAATGAAAGGTTGCATTGCAAAGCATATCCCTCCAACAGCAGCCCCATAATCAGAGTACCACCTCATAAAAACCCTTTGCAACTATGTAGTAGGCGATCCACTATCATAGTAATTGATTTGATTCCTGCAGGTTATTCAAGCAGCAGCAGAGACACAAAAACGATATCAATTTTCACTTTCCCTACAACAGGAAAATCTCCTCCAAAAGAATGCCAAGCATGTCCAGCAGCACCCAGCATTTTGTATGACTTCAAAAGAGAACTTTATTCCTCATTATGAGTTATTCAGTATTAGAATGCATTACAACACATGACCTAACTTTGTTTAGGGAGAACTTGGCCTGATTAGCCCAACCTTTCCATTCGTTTTTCCTAGCAATTTGGACAAATGATGAGAACAATGAGAGCAAAGCAATTCCAGACAAAATGTTTCTTCATACTCGCCGTCATTGATGCACCGGCCACACTGACTACATCGCGGTATGCAAAGCGTGCAAGCCCGGCACACCTGAGAGGCATGCCCCACCACCCCCTGACAGCCTTCTGCTGGACAATCATATACAAGCCTTAAATTCTCACATCGAGGACAAACTTCAATGTCTATGGACCGATCATCATCGCAGGGCAGATACAAATTCCAACGGCAATAGAAATGTGGTTTGTTGGAATGCTTCTTCGGTTGACTGTCAGCGCGGAAATGCTCCTGCAGTTGACTGTCAGCGCGAGAATGCTCCTGCAGTTGACTGTCAGTGTGGGAATACTTCTGTTGTTTACTGTCAGTGCTCAATAAGAGCTTTATTTCTTCAAAATGCTTTGGTGTGACACCATAAAGGCCTCCTATGTGTAAATGCTTCACTCCTTGTGTACCCAGAGAGTTTTTGTAAGCTTTTAACATACCCACAATACCTTCAATACTTAATCTTGTACATCCGGGAACACTCAACTGCATAGATTCACCAGAGGAAAAAATACACAGTTATTTGTAAAGAATATCGATATGAAGACATTAACAACTCTGGACTTAAGATGAGATCAAATAGTACTCACAACTCAGAGCAGTTAATACTATAACAGCAGACAAAGTCAGTGATTATCATGCTTAGCATACCAACACTAAATCACTTTATATATGAAACTAAATGATATTTAGTAAACTTACTTCAAAGTGCCAAGATCTATCAAAATGCAAAAGACTCGTTTATAACCCAAATGCATCTGAACAGTAAAGGAAGCATGACCGGATCAAAGTCAAAAGTTGGAACAATTAATAATGTGCCTAAACTCAGTCTATAATATATTTTTCTTGCACACCTTCCCTTCAAATTGGGGGTTTAATAGTCAAGAGTTGGAACAATTAATAATGTGCCTCAACTCAGTCTATAATATATTTTTCTTGCACACCTTCCCTTCAAATTGGGGGTTTAATACCTACAAATGTTACTACAATGCTCTAAAACACAAGTACTTCTAAAATGGTAAAGTACCGGACACGGTACGTATCTATACCAGTACCATACTGCTGGCACTACACTTTTTTCATTATTATGTTCTGAGTCAAAATTGTAGTTTCCTCCAATGTTATAAAACTAGAGTCCACACAAAATCAGTAAAGGATTGAGAATTCGTAAATTGAGGATCGTAACATGAATCGTAAGATTCTACAACTGGTAGAAAATATATTTATATATGGATAATTACATAAGCACACCCATAAATCATCATATATATGAAGAAAATAACTTTTAAATCATATAAGTTCATAAACATAAATTTATAGAATTTATAAGCTCACAACCATAAATTCATAACCATAAAAACTGAGTTCAAAATGAAAACAATCTAAAAACAACAATTCTAGACTTTCAAGATGCCATCCACTCATAAAACCTGATGCAGTAAGCGGCGTGGCAGCGTCTCTTTCGAACAAAGGAGGAAGTGGTGCAGAGAGTCGGTGAAGACATGTTTGAATGAAGGAGGTAGTGGTGCAGAGAGTCGGTGACGTCTCGTCTGAATGGAGGAAGCGATGAGGAGTGAGGAATACTTGATCACAGAAAGACCATTCGGTTTCATCAGAAAAGCACGATACTCTTTTTCTCTAGAGGCAAAGATGATACTTTTTTTCTACTGCTGCAAAGATATTTAAGTCTGATTGTGTTCTTACTAATTAAATAACCAAACATTGGTTTTGGTTTAAAACCCGACCCAGATCCAGTCCCAATTTAAAAATTAGGATTATTTTCCAAAAAACATCGCAGCCATTGTAACTCAGAACGAGCTGGCTGTGGAGTTCGGCCGAGTTTTCTACCTCCGACTCCACCTGCATTGCAGCACGCTAGAGGGAGATTGAGATGTAGGATTTCACAATCCTATGAGGCAACTCATGATTTCGCATATATTGATTAATACAAATATTATTTACGTATTTTATTTCATTTGTTGTCGTAGCTTAACACAATTTTTGACATTTCAAACATTTTATTGTGATGTTTTACTGTGAATTGAACAATTTAATTCTTTCATGTTACATTATATTATATTATAAAAATAAATTCTCGTTTTTTATCTCCGTACTCGTACCTTGGTTTTTTTAAAACATATTGTATCCCTGGTTTTTTAAAACATATTGTATCCTGCACCCAGTACCTAAGCATCATTAATACAAATATTATTTACGTATTTTATTTCATTTGTTGTCGTAGCTTAACACAATTTTTGACATTTTAAACATTTTATTGTGATGTTTTACTGTGAATTGAACAATTTAATTCTTTCATGTTACATTATATTATAAAAATAAATTCTCGTTTTTGATCTCCGTACTCGTACCTTGGTTTTTTTAGAACATATTGTATCCCTGATTTTTTAAAACATATTGTATCCTGCACCCAGTACCTAAGCATCATAGCTACAATGAGATAATACTACACATTTTCTACCAATGCATGATGGAAAACAAACAGCAACAGAAATAGACAGCAGTAGTGAAGGATATGCTCTTTAATCATTTGGGATAAAAATAAGCATATGAATCAAGCATTTCCAGCATCTACATCCGGGATGACATACAAAGAACAAAATGTTCAAAACAGGATCTGCTGACTTCTAACTTATTAAAAAAAATTGGCAACCAGTGAAGTTTAAAATAAATTATGTCCCCAATTCACCATTTAATAAATACAAATCAACAGCAATATCATATTTATTATATACAATTCCACAAATGCATGCTATATGAACAGAAACGTATCTAAATTCCAATTGAACTTCAAAAAAATAAACATAATAGGCTAATGCATGCTCACCTTGGTTATTTTGGGATTGACTTCAAGAACACGCCTTAGACCATCATCAGTTATCCTAGAACACTCCACCAAACTCAGACACTGAAGTTTACCTTGAGCCCTACTGGTTAATTCCAAAAGAACATCATCAGTGATCCTTTCATTTAAAGGCTGGTCAACGTGGATACTTTCCCATATAAGTGTATCAGTTCGAACAGTAGAATGCAGATATTTACATACTCTCTCAACAGCAAGAAGATCGGACAAACCCAAATAGCGGAGACAAAAGATTATAGCTGAAAGAGGAGAGTGTTCATCTATTTCATGAAAACTCACATCATTCATGTCCATACCACCCGACACGCTGGCAATAGCCTCGTCTTTATAATCAAGACCAAAACCCATTACGCCATCCATGTCACGAGAAGATTCAGCACTAAAGCTGCAGGAAGCCTCTCCAACTTCTCTCTGAGAATACTCAGAGAATCCACTCATCCCTTGAAATCTATTCTCCTCCATGCCCAGATTTCCCCCCTGGGGAGGAAATGTGTGGAACCTCACAGCATTGTTCCAAATGAAATTCAACCCAGCAAACAAAGGGTAATTCTCACCACTCGTACCAATCTCCTCCCCATGATACCCACCATAGTCATCATACCCACCATATCCACCATAATCAAAATCCAAATCCTCCAGCCATCCAGTGATAGCTGTGAAGGTAGTGCCGATCCCCATGCCAAACGGATCCTTAGGCAAACGATCAATAATATCATTAGAAACAGATTCCTGAGTGGCACTTACACCCCCTCTATCACATCTATCATTTCCATAATCAAAACAATTATCAACATCTACCCAACCATTACCAAATCCATCACCACCACCACCACCACCACCACTCATCTCAGAAATACCCTCCACTCGGTACCCATTCCCCATTCTCAAATTATCCTCCGCCAAACCACCCGAAAAAACAGGTCGATGAGAGAAATTCAATGCCATCACATATATTTTCCTTCCCTATCTATATATACACAAACCCTAACACGATCAATCAGCCACAAACCCTAATTTTTTGGGGGGATGATTCTAATACTAATTCTAATCAAAACAACAATTTCTCTTTTTTTTTTCCTTTTGATTCTAAATAGGAAAACAAAACACAAAAAAATTATTAAAAAATGGAAGAGATCTATCAAGAAAACCCTCGATTTCGGATAGCAAACTAAAAAACGCACCAAAAACTTCACGGAGTTTCTTGCGAGGAAGAATCCAGTTATAACAATAAACGAAATTGAAAACCAAAAATAGAAAGAAAACAGCAAGACTATAATCGAATCAGATGAAGAAAAACAAATCGTATTTTTTTTCTTCCAGAAATGAAAACCAAAACAACGAAATTTTTTGTAGCAATATTTTTTGTTGTTTTTTTTAGTGGTGATGATTGGGATTGAAAAAGAAAAGATGATAAAAGAGAATCGAAGAAAAACGAGAGCGTTAGTTGAGAAATAGAATGAAGAGGAATGAGGAGAGGAACCCTAATTAAGATGAGGGAATGAGAATGGAAAGGGTGCGAAAGAGAAGGGAAATTAGTGGTTAGGATTAAGAAGAAAATAAGGAAAATTCGGAGAGAATTGTTTGTGTTTTCGTGGTGGCTTTTTCTTTCTTTCTTTCTTCCCCCTATAGAGTGTGACGATGCTGATCGATCGAGTTCGCGGAAAATATGTGTGAGATAGAGAGAAACTATAGGAGGGTTTTATTTTAACTCAGTCAATACGTAAAAATAACGGTGAATGTTGAACGTTGTTGGACACGTGGCGGTGCAACCGAATGCGTTCATACAGTTTTTTCGCGTCTTATTATGACATGTAGCGAAATGGAAAAAGGGAGTAATACTAGTAGTACATATGTATATGACGTCATATAAAATACAATTTATATGCTCATTCTATTTTATTCTATTTCATCAAAAATAACACTACTACCTAATATTCAATCATGCTGATTCATAGGGGAAAATAAATATTTTGAATATTAGAGGTGAGTTAAAAATGACTATTCGTTATAGTAGTATATTTCTTTTTTTATTTTTAAATCTGCCAAAAAATATTATAAACTATTTATATGCTATATTGTAGTTAAAACAATTTAAGGCTATTAATTAATATATATATAATTAAATTGAATGAGAAATAATTATATGATGTCGAATATTCTTTAGTTATAAAATTATTAAAAAATTTAAATGATATTTAATTTATTAAAATATTTATTTTATGATTTAATTAATGACATATAATTAATAACTTTGTTTCGAGTCGATTCAACATGACTGACTCTATGCAAAAAAAAACACAATCTATACAACGTATTCAAGACTAATGAACATGTGAATTCTCGTCAAAAGGATGCAGAGCAAAGTGAAACCATTTGTTCATCTTAAGTCGTCGGGAGGGCTTTCAGTTGTTAATTGTATATAAATTTTGTTATGCGTTATAATATGTATTATTTCATTCACTCTTGTAAATTACATCTTTATGTTGACTTGAACTTTATAGTGTTAAGCTTGCAAGTATACCTATGTTCCATTGTACCAGAGACTAACATTGTAGTACTGGACAGCTTTATGGAAATTTCTATCAACATATTGTCAATCTTCTATTTCACATTGGAGTTGTTTGTGAGAGCTCTAGTCAACTGTAGTGATATATTTGTAAAGGCTCGCAATAGGGCGATACGTGCCAAACCTCATCGGGCGACTGCCCTAGAATATACCGTCGAGACGTAGATTAAATTTTATGTTTTTGTATTTTTTTTTTAATTTTATTTTAATCATTTTTTGTGTCTTCCAATTGTTTATACTTAATATGAACATTGTTGGTATTTTCGTGTTTGTTGTTTCATTGTTAATTCTTGTTCTCTCATAATTTGTTTGATTCTGATTTTGAGTTTAATTATTATAACATGGTTGAACAAAGAACCTTAAGAGAACTTGATACACCTAATTCACTTTTGGTTGATTTCTCTTCTTTGTCTGATTTTGATGATACTTATACTTGTGATGTTTGCACTGATACTCACTTATGTTCAGTTTGTGCTGGAATTGAAGCTGCCTTACAAGTTGATATTTCTTATGAGATTTCTACTGTCAAAGTTGATGTTGCAGATTTAAATGAACAAAAATTGTTGCATATATTAAAGAAACATAAGAAGGCAATTGGATGCACCTTGACTGACATTTATAGTATTAGTCCTCCAATGTCTATGTATAGGATCATACTTGAAGATGAATCAAAAGCAGTGAGGTAGCCCCAAAGACGGTTTAACCTCTTGATTTTGGATGTTATGAAAAATAAGATCTATATTTCACTAGAGGACAAAGGGAAGACCACTTTCACTTGCCCATTCGACACATTTACCCATAGAAGAATATTCTTTGATCTAGGAATAAAAAATAAAGGTACTGATAAAAATTACAAAGCATGTGGACATTGCATTAAGCTTTTCCATGAGAGTTTCGCATTGGAAGAGGAAACTATAGAAAAGCTCTCATTAGAAAAGGCTACTTATGCGATCACATATCTGCCTTGACTGCTTGGGTGTGTTATTTCCTTTCTCTCACTCTTATTTTATATTTATGTTATTTCATTGAGGACAATTCATATTTTAAGTGTGGGGGAGGGAATCATCTCTGTTCTTTGTTTTTCTTTTGTTTTTTTTTTGTTTTGGTTTGTTTATTTTCTTTTTAAAAAAATTAGAAACACTTTGCATTTTTTTTGAAAGTTTTAGAATGCAGATTAATTTGAGGTTAGTTCTTAGAGACTTGGGAAAAGTTTACAAGATCAGTATCGTTTTAACACCTTAAGTCTCCCGAATATGGAAATTCATTTGAATACTTGTTATGACATAGCGCTGAGTTCCCATCCTTTAATATCTTTTAAGTAGTTTATCTTAGCAGTCAACACCATCTTACACACGCTATACGTAGAGAAGCCAATGAAAATAAGTGAACGATATAAAGTTTTAAATGAATTTTCTTGAAGAAAAAAATAGGGAATGCACCTTCTAAGTTGGGTGACCCTCACCTAGTCACTTAACCTAACGGTTGTGGAACCCACAAAACATAATAATAACACTCATTGTTGGTTGGTTCAGAGGTTTCTGGTACTGAACTTGGTAGGGCGGATTACAGTCTGATCCCCCGCAACTACAATTAGGAAAATAAGGGGTTATGCCACTTAGTTACTAAAACCCTGTGCAAAAAGGATCAGAGTCACTAATTGGTCGTCTTACTATGAGTGTGTGGAGATAACGGGCTTAATGTAATTGCGCTAGAATGAAAGAGAGTAAAAATGAGGATGAGTAAGTTAGGTTTGGTTTGTATAAAAGGGAGGCTTATGATTGCACAATTGCGGATTTGTGTTTTTATGATATCATTAGTGTGTAAGATTAGTACCTATTGATGTAATCTTAACCGAAGAAGAGTTTGTAGCCTAGAATGAGTATCTGAATGTTGTGGTGTTTCATGAGTCTTGATTCTATTTTGCTTGAAATACAAAAGTTCAAGTGTGGGGGAATTTGATCAGTGCATTTTAATGCACGTTCTCTTATGTTTGTACTTAGGCATTTTCATGCTTTATTTTGTTTATTTTTTATCTTGACGGTTGATCAGAACCTGTGAAGTAGCCAGAAGATGATATGTAGTCGGGTTGTGATGTCGAGGAGAAAAAAAGGGCGTTGTACCTGCAAGGCACTCCAACGATCAAGTAAGAGTGGGAACAAGGAGATACAAGTAAAGTATTAAGGTATTGGTGGTGAATAGTGAATATTCGATACCTGGTCCTCACGTGTGTGAGGGTTTATATAATGCCCCTAGCGCATGGCTATTGGTTCCTGATTTCATGTCTGGATGTGTGGGTCCGTGAAACCAGGTAACTTCCAGGACTTGGTCAAACCGGGCAGATGCGCCCATAACTAGTTGTTGATTCTGATGAGGGGGCCAGTTACGGGTATCTCTCTAGTCGGTTCATGGTGGCCTGCACGACTTTGATGTTGGGCAAGCAGAGAGATGCTCGTCGATCATCCTAGGCCACTGCTAGCTTGAGAGGGAAAATGGTCGATATTTCCCGATGGAGAGCGGACGGTTCGGGTCATGGACGTACGGGCCATACAAAAAGAAAGGTCTAGATTGGGCATGTTCAAGCTGTCGGGGAAGTCCAGAGCAGTAGCCCCCCAAGTCGTTGCTTTTGGGTACAGGAGTGACGACTTTAACACCTGCTCATGGAATGAGGCGTGTCTTATGGGAAAATGAGTGTTGCACGTTGCGCCTTTCTCGCTGGGATATGATGAGTTAGTCATTAGGACCCTTGAATTTGGAGAGATAGCGTGTTTCGGGAAGTGTGCTTGGAAGCGGCGCAATGATGACTTGGGGGCTAGGGTGTAACAATAACGACCCTAGGGTTTCCCAGGCGCGTGTCTCACATGCACAGATGGCCTCAGCTATAAATATGAGAGGAGCAGGGTGTTTATTGTTTTTCGTCTTCTCTCTCAACTGCTCGTAACAGCTCGATCGTCGACCACTGTTGTTCCTTGAGTTTTGTCACTCGCAGCTTCTACTTCCAGCCTTTCTTATTCTATTAACTAGTAAGTTTTCATTTTTTTACCATTGTTCGTTTTCAGTAGTTCATATTTTCGCCATTTTCTTTCTGGAGATGCATGCGGCTAGCGTTTAGGGGTTCGTTTATGAGGATGTCGTTGGGGAGTGTTGGCGGTAGGCGGTGTTTTTGTAGTTTAGAATCGTCGGAGCCACCGTGGAATCTCCTTGGGCACTTTTTGATGTGTTGTAGACGACCCTTAGGACTTAGGGATTTTTCTGTAACTTCTGCCCATTGATGCGCCTTAGTGAGGGTTTTGGTCGGGGATACGATCCTCGTTTCCCAACGCCCTTTCGCTTGATTAGTGGTGGAAGGGTGGTTTTGGAATTGATGTCGAGCTCATCTTTTTACTCTTCTTTTCAAGTGTTATGGTTGACAACGCCCGGGTCGATCTCTTGAGCGAGTCTACACAATCTTCGAGAAGTTCCTCAAACGAGACGAGTAGCTCGTCGAGCATCCTGGAGATTTTCGGGGATGCACAGAATCAATTGGAGGAGCAAACCGGGGAAGGCGACATGGATACGACCTCTGTCGATCAAGGTTATATGTTTCCTTCTAGGGACGAGGACCCCTGGGATTAGCCTTCGTATTTCTTTGAGCATCTGGAGGATGTTTTTACAGATGTATACACTCACGAGGAGAGGGACCAAGGAGAATGGTCACTATACATCCTCGGGAAAGAGAACAGGATTTGCTCGAAATACGATAGGAGGCAGATTCCTATATATGACATCGTATTTTGTGAGATGGGTCTTCGCCTCCCCTTCTATGATTTTGAGGTGGCCGTATTCAGGCACCTGCGCATGACTCCCTCCCAATTACACCCGAACGGCATCACGTTCATGCGAGCGTTCGAAATAGTTTGAGACTACTTGAAGATAGGGGCCACCATTCCCTTGTTCTTCTATTGCTTCCACTTCTAGAGGAGCAAGGTTGACGGTAAATGGGGATGGGTTTCTCTGAAGCAAGGCAATGGGAAGTTGTTAAAAGCTTATTTGTAGTTTGTTCGCCACTTTAAAGACAAATATATATTGGTGCAGCCTTTTTCGAGCAAGGCGATGTTGATCGTCTTCAGGATCG